GTTGTAGTACTCAAGTCTGGACATGACCGGACTCAGATTCAAGTCCATCTCAAGTCTGATTCTAAGACCATATTTTTTATGACAAGTCGAGAACAGCTCATTTGAGTCCAAGTCCAAGCCGGGTCCAAATGCTCCTGATAGTTTTGGACTTGGACTTGAGACTGAGTCTGGTCTTGTCCAGACTTGATTACTGCAATGCTGCCATTTTTTTCTACAGACATGAATTATACCTTAAATCGTGCTGTTTATTGGGGAGCAGTGCATTCTTACTTTTTCAAAGCATTCAGACTTAAGGTGTGGTCACATGTACTGTTGTTCGGCCAGTTTTCAGACGTAAAATCCAATAATTTCAATAGTAATCCAGGGCGAAAGATTTCCCCATGCAGATTATGCGGGTTCAGGTTATTCACACTGATTCGCCATGTTGACCAAAAGAAAGCTGGTTTCTGGTTAAACTGTGTTTGTACATAAACTACACTATTGACAATAGACAATTAACCTTCTTTTGCTGCGAATCCCAATTTTTTAGTGCAGAAAAATGACCCCCAAAACAAACACTGAAAAAGGGAGTCATTTCTAGGGCCAGAGTATTAAGTATAAAGTATAAAGCAGACTTGACTTGTCTTGATTAGTATTAGAGTATGGGCAACATACTAAAAACCACTCAGAACGTGTTAGGAACCATATTTTAGTAACTTAGCATTATGATGGCAAATTTTGAGCTGGAAAGAACCACTCACATTTTCTTCAGAAAATCTAAAAAAAATCTAAGTATAAGTAAATGCTAAGAAACATGACAGCAATAAAACAATTTTTATGTGATTTTACTGTATTGGTGTTCTGTATTTGTTTTATGGTGTTGCAGAGGAAGACTGGTCCAGACTAGTAGCACTATCTCCTCTCTTCCAGCTGATGAAGGAAGTGGAGCAACAGCTCAGGGATAGTGCCAGAGATAGAGGCCTTCTCAAGATCCAGCCTTCGGGTCAGGCTCTAATTATCACCACTGAAGCGTGCAATCTGAACTCATCAGAACTGCAGAGTCATTAGTGTAGCAACAGATGACTTAAAGCCATGAAAAACATCATGTACATGTCACTAACTGGAGCTTTATTTTTAGCTGCTTCTTAAGGTTAAGGGGCTGTGTTATAACTTATTACTCATGTGATGATATAATTAATTAACAGCTTTATTTTTTGTTAAAGTTCGCAAAGATGCAGAGTGATCAAAGTCTGACACCAAAGTCTGACACCATTAAATGGTGTGTGTTTGTACATGCATTCAGGTGCAGGCCAGTCATTCATGGATTTCATGGATGCCCAGTGGGAGTGTGAGGGAGAGCTGATTCAAGTGAGCTCTGAAACCCTCAACCCACGACAGCTTCTGCTCTACCAGCATGGACAGTTTCTCCTCCAGCACCTTCACTTACATAAAATGGTCTGGATCCGTCTGTCTTTTTCTCCCTTGCTATTATGTTCTCATAGACAGTGTTGGGAGTAACTAACGAAATGTAACTACAATACTGACTCAACTACATTTTTAAGTAGTGTGACAAAAAAACATTAGATCTTTTAACAAGGTGATGGGTTGCATATGCAGCTTAGTTTTAATTGGTTAGATAGATTATTTAAATGTACCAGTTGAAAAAAAAAATCATTTGAGTTCCTGCATTGATAGTTATGTGACATTTTACGATTTATTTTTCTAAAGGTATATACAAAATAATATTATGTAAAGTATTTTTTTACAACAGTTATAGAAAATAATGTAATATTTGGTTAATTAATGTTCATCAAATTATTTATTTATGTTATTTATATAAATTATGTTTTTTTTTAAATTGGTATTTAATATAAATGAATCAATTCTAATGCTGTCACCTTTATTGAGTGTTTTTGTGGCAGATACATACTGCTGAGAATATGCTTTTTTAAATGTTTTTGAAAGAAGTCTCTTATGCTTACAATACCTGGATGTGTTTATTTGATCAAACATACAGTAAAAACACTAATATTGTTAAATATTATTACAGTTTGAAATAACTCTTTACTATTTGAACTTACTGTAAATTTATTCCTGTTATGGCAAAACTGAATTTTCAGCAGCCATTGCTCCAGAAACCGTGATATATTTTTTCAAGATTCTTTGATGAATTATATATTATATGTCTTTACTGTCAGTTTTGATCAGTGTAATGTGTCCTTGCTGAACAAAAGTATTAATTTCCTTTTTTTTTTTCAATCTTACTGACTCCAAACTTACACACAAACAGCCTTAAGTGTATTCACAGCTTTGATTTCTTCATTCTAGATACCAGCAGTAACCCTTCAACTGGCTTCTACTCTTCCTTTCAACGACTACCATAACAATGCTTTCCGCAACTCTTTCTATTATCAGGTATCTAGGCGCTTAGGCATGTTTGTATTGAACCCACTATAAAAAGAAAAAAAAGTTATGAATAATTTACCAGACTTTGAGAAGTGATAATTAGCACCACATTCTCTGTGATATAATTGGTCTCATGGCTAGTTCGGTTGCACTAAGGTTAAATGCCTTCATTTGTCAGTCACTGGGTGAGTGATAATTAATTCATGTTAAGCATACTTAGTGCTCTGTCATACAAACCCCTGTGCACTTAGCAGTTCCTATGTTTTCAGGAGGGACAGAAGACTCTGTTTGTTCGCAGTCAGAGATTGCAATCAGTGGGTGGCCTCTCTCTGCTGCTAATGCACTGTGCTGCACACATTTCCACCGGCCAGATGAGGACCGACACCATTCCTGCCTTTCAAAGAGCCTTCTTCAAGGTGCTATAAGTAACCACTCCACACCAACCCAGCTTGAACAAACCAAGAATGGATTGTGCTAATAGAGTCTTTCTTATTGACATAATGTCCTGTCCCCATTTTCAGGTTTTACAGGTGGGCCTAAGTGAGCTGTTCCATGCCAGACTGGGACAAACTGATAGTCCAGATGATGAGAGGCTGAAAGATTTGGCATCTGACGCAGCTCTCAATGGTCTTCTACTGGAAAGAGTCCAGAAGCCAAGTCCTGGGATTTTTTCAGAGCATGTAAGTTTGATTTATTTCGCCATATTCGCCCCTCGTGTTCTCAGTAGCTGTTGCCAAGTAATTCACAGGGATGTAACAGATGCCGTAGGATCAGACTGATGTGGCAGAAGTAATACATGTCGGAGTTTGAGATTACGGATGTGTGCTGTTTTCTGGGCAGGAAGTTTTGGGACGTCTGCGCAAATACAGAGAGGCTTCAGTGTTCCGCCAGGTCGAGAGTCTACTAAAAGAGTCTCCTAAGAGCCTGGAGATCAACCACCTCAACACTGACCCGCCACTCAATGACGACCCAGAAAGCCAAGACGCTGCTCCTCCATGAACTGACATTTTAACTTTGAACAGTGCTGCCTTTCTGACAGTGATGAATCCAGCTTTCAAAGGCATGTTATATGCTGTGAGGCAGCTGATGGCCTTATCGTCTTGGACGGTAAAGGCCCCTGGACCAGGTTAGAGCATCTAGTTTTGCTTCCGGTGGTGACCCAGCACAGCTAGAAATCTACTTTCTTGTACAAAGTTGAAAAAATGGCACTAAGAAAAACCATTAAAATGGGCAATATTTCCATGAATTGCATAGGCCCAACAAGCAAACCTCTATTTAATCCAGTTTTAATGTAGTTTTCGAGAATAAAGGCATGTTACAGAATTTGACCATGTTGGTATCTACCTAATCTGACTAGCTTCTACCAAATGACACAAATTTGCACCAAAATACCATACAGTTTGATTGGACGCACAACCTCAGGGTGCAATTTCTTAAGAAAAAAACTAAACAATACAGGGGGTAGTGAAAAAATAATGAATGAAATTAATATAATTGAATGAAAATATTATCTTAAAATTTTAAGAAATAAATTTAGACAATGTACAAATACGGTGTCATACAAAATGAAAAGTCACATAAAATGAACAGTAGAAATAAAGAGAAAAAAATGTAGCAGAATTAACTAAATTAAATTGATCAATTACCTTATTGACTATAAATTTAAGATTATAAATTTGCTCAAATAGCAAAAGAAAAAAATCCAATATAGCGTTTTCACGCCTTTCCAAAAGAAGAAAGATGTAAAATTTACTGTATTTACTTTATCTTTACATTTTGAAATATGAGCATATACAGTATATATATATATATATATATATATATATATATATATATAACCTTGCTAGATTTACAAAGTTAATAACTGTGGAAATTCTGTGGAATGGGACCATATAATTATATGATTTATTGCATTTAATTTATTCGTGTTTAGAACCGTCATTTCCCGCTGTCCACGACTGTATCAAACAGTCCCAGTAGTTAAGACTCATTGTATTAGATTATGACTCAAATAAAAAGAAAGACAAGCATTTGCAGAATATATAGCGAAATAATGGCCTGAGCTTTGAGTTTAAAATAAATTTAAATTAGCAGAATGCTCAGGGCAAAATTATAATGATGACATTTTAAAGCAGCAACACATAAACTAGCTCTATCTTGTTCTGTTTACTATAAGAGTACAAGACAGTCCATCTACACTTTTCGGGTGTCTCAGAATGCAACTTTAAAACTCTTGTTTACCAAATACTTATACACATATGTAAGATTGCACTCATTGTTTTGTCTTGCACTGTCTTGTTTGATTGCATTTTATTTATTTATAGTGGTGTTTTTCTGCTATTCACATTTGATACAGCTGCTATTTTGTGCCTGAATGTTCCTCTAGGGATCAATAAAGTTTGTTTATCTAGAGTAACAACAAGAAATGGAAAGGAACAATAAAACATTTTTATCTGTTTAAGTGTGTCTGCTTTTGGAGTACATCTCAGTCGTTGTTCATATTCATGAATACATTGGAGCACCTTCATCATACCATAAACCTTCAAACATAAACTAGAGCTCTGACTTTATACAGTACATTTCATCAGTAATTCAAAGTTATGTTTTCTGAAAGAATGAGTGTGGCTGTGTCCTTGTACAAGGGCATAGTGATGTTTTTCAGAGAGTCATTCAGCTTGCTGTAGAGAAAACACTGGATACAACCAAATAAAATAAGTTTAAAATTAAAAAGATTTGTGAATGTTGACCGCGTGATGATGTAGTTACAAGTATCTACTAGCAGTAGAAACAATTCCTCTTGCACGTGGCTGCTGTTGCTATGGTTACGGGTACACTTCCGCAAACAAAACTGCCTCGCTTCTCTTCGCTAGAACTTCTCTTTCGGTGGGCTTTGTAAACTCATTTTCAAGCATGACTGTGCAAGATAACGACGATCTCGAAAGGTTTTTGAGGAATGTTGACCAAATGAGTAAGTGCCGTTTGCTTACAACTTATGTTTCTTGATTATAAAACGTCGTCTGACGTTAGTGCGGACAGGACGGGACTCTTTCAGTGTCACACGTTTCACACAATAACAGATCACACATTTCTTTGAATCATGAGCTAAATGTAATTTGGGAGTTAAAAAAAAATAAATGAGTTGCTTTCTGATTGCAGACGAGTTGGTAAAAGAGTTAAATTTTGCGAAGGCAGATCAATTCATCTCATCCCTGGAGCAGAAGGAACCGTGTAAAACCAAAATCAATAAGACTGTTATGAACAAAAATCCTTCATCTGAAAACGGACCAGTGGTACAGTATTTGTAGTCTGCACTGGAAATATAATATGAATGAATGAGTAAAAACACACTTTTAAACATAAATGTTAGAGTTCATGATTATCAGTAATAAATTAAATTAAGTGACTATTACATGCTTTATATTAATACCTAATATTTCAAAAAGTATGCATTTTTTCAAATGTTAATAAGTTAAACTACAGTAACACAATTGTTTTCCTCTTTTTAGAACATCCAGTATGAATCAAGTCAAAATCCTGGTAGGTTTGTGTCTTGAAGTCTTTTATCTGTTCTTGGTTCGGCAGTTGACAAGACTTCTATGTCTCTGTTGAATAATTTGGTTTCAAGTATAAAACTTGGATGTCTGCCCTTGACGTCTTGTAAATGATTTATAAATCAATACAAATGTAGCGAATCAGCTCATGGGGAAATATGAATAATTAAAGGGTCCTGGGCCCTGTTCACAGACAACTTGGCACCCAGTATGTTTATTGGGTGAGGGGTCTGTGAACGTTTGTTAATCTAATGAATAATTGATTTGTTAATCAAATGAAAAATGGTGTGTCTGATTGGTCCAGACGCTACACAAACTAGCTCACCTTCATCTTCACTTCTTGTCTTTTTATTATAAATCTGCCAACGGTTTGTTGTACTCTTCGATTTGTCAGAGAATTTCTTGAGGATATTAGAAAAAGATGCCGAGGAGAGAAGACTGAGAAGAAAGATGAAGGAAGAAAAAGCCAATGGTGGGTACGCTGAAGCCTAAGGGCGAAATGGGCAGTTTCTGTTTTCTGTGTGTGTTGTCAGTTTGTGACGTCTAGATTTGCTCTGTCCTCGTTTGACCCGCAGCGTTAAGGGAGCAGGGGAATGAAGCTTTCACTCAAGGTGACTACGAAACGGCTGTCAGGTTTTATACTGAAGGCTTGGAGCAGCTGCGTGACATGCAGGCTCTCTACACAAACAGAGCACAGGTACTTCCACGTTTCAGAACGAGTTCTTGTACAATAATCCGAAAAGTCAGTATCATAACTGCTATTCCTGTGAGACTGCTCCTCTTGTGATTTTATTGTCTCTTACATTCATGTATTATGTAGGCCTTTATCAAGTTGAAGAGATATAAGGAGGCCATCAGTGACTGTGAGTGGGCTCTGAGGGTGAGTAAAACACTGGGAAAGAGGTCAGAGAAGTGCCCTCTCATTTTTCAGTGTCAGCCGAAGCAGAGAGTTTCTCATCCTACCTTGTCTGGTGAGAACAGCAGACTACATAGTGCGGTGTCTATTGAACTGGATAGTTGTGCAGCGCATTGGAAAATTGGGTTGAAGTTCCTTCTGAGATGTTCCAAATAGTCTTTGCTTTTGGAAAACTTTTAGAAAGTTAAATAAGAGTTATTTATATATAAATAAATATATCCCTATGGTCTAATGGAAAATCCAATATATTGTCCATTGGGTCAGTGACAAATAAGAGTGTCTAGGATAAAGAATAATAAAAAAAAAAAATCTAGTTTAAAAAGCCAGTGCATCTGCATGTTGGTCACACCATATGACTGTGATTTGGTAGACCAAAGTTATTGTAATATTTACAATAATAAATACAAAATACAAAAAAAGAAATACAAAAAATTATTTTTATGCCCCCCAAAAGATATCAAAATGAGCTTTAATTGAGATGTTACATTTTTTTCATTATAGAAGAGTTGTAATAGATTGGGTAAAGTAATAATTTACCCTAGATTGGGACAAAATAAATCACATTACTGATTCTAGTTTATTACTTAAATGCAATTTTCTGTTGTTTTCAAGTGGCCAATGAATATATAAAACTTTCATTCACAGTGCAATGAGAAGTGTATTAAAGCATATGTACACATGGGCAAATCTCACCTAGCACTCAAGGATTTCAAACAGGTAAGTATCGTTCAATAGAAGTTTTTCTGTCCTTTCAAGTCTAAAGCTGGGTTACACTTATATTTCTCACCTTATCTGACCTCTCTCCTTTTATCCTTCTGCTTCACTTTCAGTCCAGGATTTGCTATCAAAAAATTTTGGAGATAGAGCCACAGCGAGAGACCATGGTCAAAGGTATGATCCAAAAATGCTGTAAGGATATGAAGCAAGGTCAATAATATACTTTAGATCCATGCATTAGCAACAGAGTATAGGATTAGCATTGTTTTTATTTTAGCATCCACTCTGTCTGTATATCTACCTTTTAGTCAAGCGTCTCTCAGAATAAACTGAATTCACTTGTGTTTTTACATGAGTCTCTCTCACACGTTCCCTCTTTCTCATCAGATGCTTACACCAGCAGTTTTTAGAACATTAGTTGCTCATTTAAATTGATTTTTAACTTTTCACATGGAATAATGGCATTATGCATCCCCGTTCTATGCATTTTAATAGAATATTTCCACATGAATTTGCAAAAAAGAAATATGTTCATGAAGCAATCACATTACCTTGCATTACACTAGCTTATCTGAGACAAGTGGATTTGGAAGAGAAGGCATCTCTCCAGGAAAAGGCAGCTTGGGACGAGCTACAGGAGGGAACAGGGCAGGCCATGGAAGTACCAGAGCTGCTGAAGAAGCTCGACAGACCCAATGAGATCAATCTTTACTACTGTGGTGGATTGGAGCTGCTCTCACAGGCTATTAAAGACTGTAAGTTCACATGATTAATTCAGAGTCCTTTGTTTATTTTAATTTTTAATTTTTTGGTAGGACGAACAAATATTTATGCCAGCCTTAAACCTCAGATTTGTGTGAAATATGCCTTCGGTTTGCCCAGTGTTGTTCCAGCAACCAGGGCGATATTTCTTGCACTGGGGATCGATACAGAGAGGAGAGAAGTGAGGAATTTTGTGCGGAGGGCTCATTGATTCTGCTCTGCGGTTCATTTGCAGTTCATGATGAGGAAACTAATCCTCATGATCAGCCACAGAGGACAGACACAGTGACAGTCCTATCACAAGCAAAAGCTCAAGGCTTTTAGACTTTGTTAGTAAATGCGTGCATTACCTTTCAGTTTGTTTTTGCTCAATTCTGATCCTGTGTCAATATATCACTGCACAGTTCAGTGCAGCAACCCCTTTTGACAATTTAGATTGATAAAATATACTATATATAAGGGACAACCTGAGCTTGTTGCCACAAATCACAAAAGGAGTAAAATGAATATTTTTCAAAATTCCCTTTACCCTACTAGTGAATATTTCTCAGGGTGAGTTTATGTTTGAAACTCAATTTCAGTATGAACACAAACCTTAAAGTACTGCCTAAAGCAAAATTGTAACAGTATATTTATAATGAAATAAAATCTAAAAGGTTGCACAAAGTATCAAACTGTTGTTTAGTAATAAATTGTATGCATTTATAACATGTCAACCTGCCCTTGTGTGACAAACACACACACACACCAAAAAATTAAATTCAATTAATTCAATTAAATTCTACCTTTATTGTATAATTGACTCTTTTCTGAATGTACACCAGCGTTCAAAAGTTTGGGTCTGTAAGACTTTTTAGTGTTTATGAAAGAAGCCTCTTCTAAAAACACTATTATTTTGAAATATTATAGAATTTAATATTCTGTTTTCTATTTTAATATATTTTAAAATGTAATTTATTTCTGTGATGGCAAAGCTGAATTACAGTCTTCAGTGTCACATAATCCTTCAGAAATCATTCTATGCTGATTTGGTGCAAGAAACATTCTTTTTGTTATCAATGTTGAAAAAAGATGTTGCTTTATATTTTTGTGGAAACCTTGATACATATTTTTCAGGATTCTTTAATAAATAGAAATTTCAAAAGAACAGCATTTATTTTAAAAAAGTAATTTTTGTAAGATTATACATTTTTGCTGTCACTTTTGATCAATTAAATGCATCTTTTTACTGGCTCAAAACATTTGAACAGTAATGTATACAAATGTGATGATATTGTGTTCACTTGTTTACACAAAAGATATTACAAAAATTATTTTGATATTTCACTTTTCTTTTACTTTTTTCAAACTAGAAACCAAAAAACTATTGCTAGAGAAAACACATTTATTTAATATGACTTTTGACTCAAATCCTTACAGCTACTGAAATATAATATATAGGCACCATGTTTTTGTTTATTCTGTACTTCATATTGATATAAACATACCTTCATATCAAGGTAACTTGATAAAAACTATATGCTAAATCAAACGTTTAAATTTGAATTTGACTTCCCACTTTATATACTGTACTGCAGTCCTTTCCAGCAGATATCCTCTATTAAAAAACAGTTTAAAGTGTCAGAAGTATTCTACAAAGGTAAATGTAGGTCTGCACATTGTGCAGCATAATCTTGAAAGCACTCCAAGACAGAACGCTTTTTGCCAAATGTTTTGTGCAGGTAAAATACCTGAATAGCTCTTTGTAAACTAATTTCTAGTTTTTCCACAGAATGAACACTGCCTTTGTGTAGATAAGGCAGCACTCTCTTATTCTTGATGAGCTTTTGTTTATTCTCCTTGTACTCTCTTTTGCCCTTGAACAGAGTGTATTGTGTGTCTGAGTCTGGCTACTGTGATGTAGTGTTGATATATTGCTCTCACTTCACACCTACTAACATTGACCTTATCTGGTGTCCCTCACAGGTACAGGGCAGACATTATTCAGATTAAACAATGGCTTCAGTATCATTAATGGCAATAACGCTGTAAGAAGGTAAGGTTGCTAAAGAAGTGAACCTGACAGTTTGTGGTCAGAATGTACTTTGCACATTTGAAAATGGCTCATGTGGTGTAAAGGTCTCTAGAAGTTGTGCTTAATTTTAATTATGGGAAGATCTTACTGTAGTATCATAAAGTGTGCATGCATAGTCCACGTATGATTGATTGCATCTTAACTTTCTCTCCTCTCTTATCGGTTGTCTTGCTCCAACCAAATACGCTATTAAAATGAATTGACTAATTTGAATGCATTTAAACAACAGATGTGTAATCTGGCTCTGCTGTATAATCATGTCATGTGTTGGAATTTAAGAATGTGCCGGTTCTTTTTCATGCATTTATGCTGAATGAGGAATGGAGTTTTCAAGCTTCAAAAGGGATGCAAAAGCAGATTATTCTGTTTTCACTTTAACATTTTATCTATGCATGACTGAAATGTATTTACTGTATCTTATGTTTAGCTGTCTCTCACAGAATTCAAAAGATCCATATGCGGTTGATCTATGCTTGTCCATCGTCAAACTACGGAGGACAGTTTGCAGTGGAAATGGTAAGATGAAATATATTGCTCTCACTTCACACCTACTAACATTGACCTTATCTGGTGTCCCTCACAGGTACAGGGCAGACATTATTCAGATTAAACAATGGCTTCAGTATCATTAATGGCAATAACGCTGTAAGAAGGTAAGGTTGCTAAAGAAGTGAACCTGACAGTTTGTGGTCAGAATGTACTTTGCACATTTGAAAATGGCTCATGTGGTGTAAAGGTCTCTAGAAGTTGTGCTTAATTTTAATTATGGGAAGATCTTACTGTAGTATCATAAAGTGTGCATGCATAGTCCACGTATGATTGATTGCATCTTAACTTTCTCTCCTCTCTTATCGGTTGTCTTGCTCCAACCAAATACGCTATTAAAATGAATTGACTAATTTGAATGCATTTAAACAACAGATGTGTAATCTGGCTCTGCTGTATAATCATGTCATGTGTTGGAATTTAAGAATGTGCCGGTTGTTCTTTTTCATGCATTTATGCTGAATGAGGAATGGAGTTTTCAAGCTTCAAAAGGGATGCAAAAGCAGATTATTCTGTTTTCACTTTAACATTTTATCTATGCATGACTGAAATGTATTTACTGTATCTTATGTTTAGCTGTCTCTCACAGAATTCAAAAGATCCATATGCGGTTGATCTATGCTTGTCCATCGTCAAACTACGGAGGACAGTTTGCAGTGGAAATGGTAAGATGAAATGCAGCATGTGAGCGTACAGAATGTATGAATCTTATTCAAAGACCTTGAAAATGAAAGATGCTATTACTGAGGAAAAAATAGCAATGCCATTTGCACATTCCTTTTTAATATTCTTAAACAGTCTCTCTTTGGAAAACTTCAATGTGAACACATTTAAGACAAAACGATCCATCACATTCACAAATCCCTCCATTTATCTCTGTGAAAGAGATCAGCCTCTCGCCATTTCTAGTCATTCACCACCTTACAGATAGAATAAGGTGCTCTCGGTGAGCACACCAGGAGACAGGATTAAACAACCACTTCATGCACAGAAGGAAATGAGGATGGCGTAACAGTTTGATAGATAGTCAATGAAAAGTGTTCAGTGAATTCAAGCCGCTGTCTTGTTTCTAGATAAGGATGGGTAGGCATATTGGTCTTGTCGTGAGTTGTACGCTGGGCGTCAGCAACGTGTGATTTGAAACCGTATAGTTCTGCTTGGATCAGCGACCACTGCATTATAACGCCTTTTTATCTTTTGCCCCTCTGGCTCTTTGTGCATTACTGCGAGAGGGTTATCTGAGGATTTAAGTCTGCTGAGCTTTTTTAGTTAGTAGTTAGTTTCTTTATTTAATCATTTGTTGTTGCTGTTTGTCTTTTTCAGATTTAAGATTCAGTCAAGGGAGAACTTCAAAGCAGTGTTTGCCCTTCCTCTTGAACATCTGCTGGTGATGTATTATGAAACATCATTCATAGTCATCCTCTTAATAATTATAATAATCTAAAGTATAATAGCATATAATATTCAAATCAATAATACTTTATTGTCTGGAATCTCAGATATTTTCAGCAAAACAATTCTAATTGTTTTTTCTTATTGATCAAAGATCCTTAATGCATTTTAGCATTTGAATTTCTTTATTCTGTATTTCAGCAACCTAAATCCTAAAAGTTGGTACTCAAAGTGTAGCACATGTAGACTCTCATTATGATCTTTAGGACTGAGACCCTACATGCTGAGGAGTCTATTTAATTTTGATTTTATTATTTTTCTATATTGCATGATAGAATAATAACGAATTAGTCTTCTGGCAGCAAAAGATCCCAGTCTTCAGAGAAAGCAAATATGTTGTTGCATTTCAGTGCAACATAGATTACAGTCTATGTAGACATCCAATAAAATCAAATGATTAGTAATTGTACTTATCACATTTTTACTAGTATGATGAGAGCTTATTATATCTTATTATGAATGGTAAGAGGAGGGTGTACACACACAAACTTTGTTCTATCTTTTCTGTATTTATAATTATAATTCATAATTATTAAAATAACTACTAATTACATAATTAGCTTTACATCATTAACTTGCACTACCATTTAAAAGATTGGGGTCTGTAAAATAAAAAAAATAAAATCTGATATCGCTCACCAAGACTGCATTTATTTGAACAAAAATAAAGTAAAAACAGCAATAGTGTGTTATATTATTACAATTTAAATAACTTTTCTATTGTAATATACTTTAAAATGTCATTTATAGCTGTGATGACAAAGCTTATTTTTTTAGCAGCCATTACTCCAGTCTTCAGTCTCACATGATCCTTCAGAAATCATTCTAATATGCTGATTTGGTGCAAAAAAAAATTCGTATTACTATCAATGTTAAAAACAGTTGCGATGTTTAATATTTTTGTGTAAACCATGATACATTTTTTCAGGGTTCTTTGATGAATATAAAGTTCAAACTAAAGCATTTATTAGAAATAGAAATTTATGTAACGTTATAAAAGTCTTGTCACTTTTGATAAATCGACCCCAAACTATTGAATGGTAAATCGTCCACATTTCAACTAATGCTCTTTTTCCAATGCACTTGTAGTCAAATATCATGACAGCCGACCATAAGAAACTGGCTTCTGTGATTTCTGTGATCGGGACCATGGCTCTGGATAATGTCATCAGTAAAAAGCTGGCAGGACGTTGCGAATTTTGGAGATGCTCTCTCCAAACTATGGTAGTCTTGGAGACGATAACCTTTTACATCACAACCAAGCTCCCAAATACTCTGTCCTTGAACATTGTTGAATTATGTATGATGTCTTGCGCTGTGAATTTTGATTCCGAGGGTTTGTTTTTAAGCTCCTTTTTGCTATCTTGTTGTATTAGCTGTGAAACAGCCATTTCCCACAGACGCTAAAACTGCAAAAGGACATGAATTTAATTTCCGGCACTGTCAAGATAAAGCTTTGTTTTGGTTGCAGAAGCAGTGCATCGGCTGTGAATGTGGAAGTGTCCTCTATCCCCTCCTGGGTTTGATGATCAACTTAGCCTCAAATCCCTCTCAAGTTGTCCAGGTAAAGCAGGAAGTTTAATGCAGCGGGCTCTAGGCCAGCCCTCATCCGAAACATCAAGCACTTTTGTAGCCAAAGGGCCCTGGATAGGCAGAATGTTCTGTTAGCGCCTTTCCTCTCCATATGTTGCAATCATGTCTGAAACACCAAAGAAAAATGGAAGAGAATGTTTTTTTGGCTCTCTTTTAACATACAGGAGCACGCTGTTCTGGCCAGCAGCAGGTGCTTGGACCTGCTGAGCGATTCCTCTGGGGGCGTCATCACAGTGAGTTGAATTCGTTTTAGCAAGGCCAAAGCAAGCTTTAACCCAACCCCTGATGACTGGAGTCGCCAGAACGTTTGAACTGTAGATTTCTGCACATTAATTATTGAAATGTTCATCCTGCAGGATGTGGGTTGTTGTGGAGCCCAGCATATTAGCATCTCTAGAGCATCTCTACAAAACATTTACACATGGCTTCTACAGGATCAAAAATGGAAGTTCAGAGTTTAAATATACGGATGTGCTTAGATGGCTAACATCCCCAAGAGAAGGATTTCGCATGCACGGAAGTATTTACATAATGATTACCGTGGCAGCCGTAGGCCCTAGCCTGGGGACTATTTTTTCTGACTATGTAAATTTAGGTTGATTCTAGGTTGCTTGCTTGGGTTTTGCTGCCTTGGCGCCTCATATCTCTCCAGTCAGGCTGTTTCTCAGAGTACAATTAAGGTTAAGGAACTTTGTCTTTGTCTCCCTTTATATATAATGGAACTGAATGCTTCCACCTCGAGGTGGACTTTTAGTGCTGTGATACCGCTTGAACTGCAATTTGCTGCCTTGGCGCCTCATATCTCTCCAGTCAGGCTGTTTCTCAGAGTACAATTAAGGTTAAGGAACTTTGTCTTTGTCTCCCTTTATATATAATGGAACTGAATGCTTCTCGAGGTGGACTTTTAGTGCCGTGATACCGCTTGAACTGCAATTTTGACAAACTGCCACAAAATACATCGGAGTACAGCTACAGCCCAATCCTTTTGAAATGTCCTATCATCCTGTTTTGGTATCAAACACGTTATCTTGTTTTGTTTTGGTTTCAGAGAGCTGCAGGTTTGCTGAGCGTTCTCCTCCCGATGTCTTCTGATGCCACTCAAGAAGTTGTGCAAAATGGAATAGTGAAGAAGTTGCTGAAGATTCTGAAGGTAGAGCCTCTATCAGGTTTTAGAATTCAGTATAGTGTCTGTAAGGAAATAAAGTCAAATTAAATTAGACAAAAGATGTTTAAGATGGTAGGGATTATGCCCTTCACATTAAATTGGTGAAAAGTCTCTACTGAAAAGACCATCTTAGCCCAGTTGAACCTTGCTGACACATTACATTTTTACTACTGTACTGGTATTCTACCACCCCCTATACATCTTGAGAACAGATTTGAAGCATTAATGAATGCGGGTGAGGAATCCCCAAATGTGATTAAACATGGATCGGATCAGCCAGCAGCTAACATCGCTACTAACAGACGCTCAAGGTCGAACAGACAGCGGCTTTCAACACAGAGCGCAGCCGAGCCCAGGACTCTGATAGTGGGTGACTCTGTTATCAGAAACATCAGTAGCAGGACTACAACGACATATTGCCTTCCGCAAGCAACCGTTTCTGATATAAACAAGGAACTTTGGAAAATTCTAATGAAGCACAAGACTGCGAATCGAATCATCATCCATGTGGGGAAGAATGATATTCGGAAAGAGCAGTCAGAACTCCTTAAGAAGGACTTCAGTGAACTCTTTGAAACACTTCAAAGACTCAAAGTTCAGTCATTCATCAGTGGACCACTCCCAGCAAGGGGAGCTAATATGTTTTCACGGTTGCTTGGGCTGAACACATGGCTACAAAGAATCTGCAGCTTAAAAGGAGTCAATTTCATCGACAACTTCAATCTTTTCTGGGGCCATAGACAACTGTTTAAACTGGATGGCCTCCACCTAAACAAACTTGGTGCAAGAGTGCTAAAGGACAACATCTAC